TTCCACATTTTTTCTTCTAAATGGTTGCTCAGTTCCAATAAATTCAGATTCATGTTCTTCCTAAAGCATATAACACCATGGTGGGCACAGAATTACATACTGGAAAGGAAATTGAACAAAAGGTTAGTTTTGAATTCTTCTGACGAATACGGTAAAACAGCTTTATCAAATATCCCATAGTTATTCTCCAAATCATCTTTTGACAATTTTTCTCACTGCTGTCTTTAAAGATTTGATCACGGAAGATTTGGCTTGATGCCAAAGCATCATGTGCTAGCTGCTCATGTTACAATCAATGATGAGTTACCAAATCGTATTATCTCTGGAACTGTAGTGGTGAGTCAGATGAAACATTTTTTGTAGAATTTTGGCGTAAATACTTTCTTCTAGGTCAAACCCAATATCGGCTCCTTCACGAAAGAAGGGGTTATTTTTGAGGATGGAACGGAAGTGGCGAAAGTTGACACGGTAACCATAATTCAGTGAAAGTTTGATACTGGATGAGCTCAGTTCTCTTCTAGGTTATTTTCGCAACTGGTTTTTCGTTCGGATTTCCGTTGGTAGAGGAGGGACAACTAATTCCAGTTAAAGAAAATCATGTTGATCTTTACAAGTACATGTATCCTGCACAGTTATCTCCAAAGGTGTGAATATCTCAATATTTTTAATAATCTCACTGGCTATTTTTCCAAATTCAGAATACTCTTGCTGTGATCGGGCTTGTACAACCGACTGGATCTATAATGCCTATATCAGAAATACAAACAAGGGTCTTCGTAGCGGCCTTAAATGTACACAAGTTCTTCTTTTGGCATTTGCCATTGCTTATCTCAACTTCATGCTTTTAGGGTAAAATAAGATTGCCTTCCAAGGCGAAGATGGAGAAAGACATCAAACGCAAGCACGAAATAATGGCGAAAGAGTTTATTGTCAGTAGAAGGCATACAATTCAGGTGAATTTTTGAGGTCGTGAACGAGAAGACTATCAATGAATTGCGAAATAACCATTATTCTCTTACAGTCAGTAAGTAAATAAATTTAGGTATATTATGTAGACTACATGGATGAGATAGCGAAACTACTTGGATGTAAGCCGACTCTTTCATATCGATTTTTAACGGATCCAAAACTGGCAAAGGCTTTACTCTTCCATGGTCTTGTTCCTTACCAATACAGGCTACAGGTAAAATATTTTTGAAGGACTTTTTTCGCAGTCTTAGAGATGGACAACTCAAATTTTAGGGACCTCATTCTTGGCCTGGAGCTCGCGAAGCAATTCTTACATTCGAGGAGCGCGTATTCAATACAACTCGAACAAGAAAAACTAAGGAAACATTGAGCAGCAAACCGCCAATCAAAATGTTCCACCTTTTGCGTTTGTTAGAGTGAGAAGCCCCTATGAAATTCCCTTACATGATTTGTACAGTTTATTCTCTAGTCGACCTTTAGAAGCGTCATACACTACATTTTCATATCTTTGCTATGACTATCTTGATTTATATACAGCGAAACAACA